GTTTGTTGGTGTCTTTAAATATGCTACAAATGAATGAACAGTTACAAAGTGTAACTGTTCATTCATTTGTAATAAGTTATTCGCTAGGCGCATTCATTTCTGAAATCAAATAATGAAAGTCCGATTGCCGACCGAATTATTATGTAGAAGTGTAGCAAATGCTTTATTACATGTTGCTGCTACTGTAAAACTTGTCGTTATTTCAAATGATTTGTTCGACATCATGAACAGTAATAAATACAGAAATTATGGCTTTCAACAGCCGCTTAATTTAAAAAATATATTTACCATTTTTGCATTTTTAGTACAAGCCAAAAATTAACCATTTTTGCATTTTTAGTACAAGCCAAAAATTATATACTATCCTTAAAACAGTTAATCAGAATAAAAAAAGAAATAAAGCGCCACAATCTCCCTAATAATCTCCTTAACGGTGGTAGAGCCCTGCAGCAGTTTTTTGCTGTTGCACGTATGGGCCGGCTCGAGCCGGGTTGGTACCACGACCTCACAGAATACCGGCGTGAAGTAGAGGCTCTGCTTCTGCGTTTCGTCTGGTGAGTGCAGGTGGCCGGAGGCCCAATTCCCCCCCCCCCCCCATCATAATGGTAGCGGAATTAGACAATAGACTACCCCAGGAGGGTACCAGTACCCCTGGAGAATCCCTCGCTGAGCATCCACGACCATGTTATTCCAATCCTGAGCGTGGGTGCTCAGGCTGCCCCGCGTATTCTGGGGGGGGGGCAAAATTCCGCTCAAAAACAAAACTGCTCGGGGCAAGCTGAGCAACAATACCAAGGCGACCCCTGCCACGCTATCCGTGAATTTCTGCAACATCAGGGGACTTCACTCTAACCTAAACGCCGTCCACTACCATCTCGAGACGGCGAAGCCGGCCTTGCTCTTTTTGACCGAGACGCAGGTTTCCTCTCCGACTGATATTTCGTATCTCTCCTACCCGGGGTACAAATTGGAGCACTCCTTTGTGCCTCGGGCTGGAGTTTGCGTGTATGTTAGAGAGGACATCTGTTCTCGACGCCTCGGCAGTCTTGAAGGTTCGGACCTGTCCATCCTTTGGCTACGCGTAGACAGCGACGACCATCCGCGCGTCTACGGGTGCCTCTATAGGTCCCATAGCGGTAATGTCGAAACAGACCGACTCATAGACCACGTCCAAATGGCTACAGATTCCTTGCTACAACAGGTCCCATCCGCAGAGATCGTGATCCTTGGCGATTTTAACGCCCACCATGCCGAATGGCTCGGTTCACGTTTAACCGATCATGCGGGGAGATCTGTTTATGACTTTGCCTTGGCATATGGTCTGACACAACTGGTTACTTCGCCTACGCGGATTCCAGATGTGGAGGATCATACACCTTCCCTGTTGGACCTTCTGCTGACCTCTCATCCGGACGGATATCAGGTTTCCGTCGATGCCCCTCTCGGCTCTTCGGACCATTGTCTGATCCGGAGTATGGTGCCACTCACGCTCCCTTCGCGGTTGCGTTCTGCAGGTTGCCGCCGTGTTTGGCATTACAGGTCGGCGGATTGGGACGGAATGCGGTCTTTCTTTGCATCCTACCCATGGGGGCGGGTTTGCTTCTCGCCGGATGATCCCAGTGCTGTTGCTGACTCTGTCACTGATGTGGTGCTACAGGGAATGGAACTATTTATTCCATCATCTGTGGTACCCATCGGAGGCAGATCTCAGCCTTGGTTTGGTCGCTCCTGTAAGACTGCATTGCGCAGTAAGCAGGAGTGTTATCAAGCCTGGGCTGCGGCTTCGGTGACTCGGGATGTAAACACCAGCACACTTAAAAAGAAGTATAACTTCGCCTCCAGGTCCTTCAAAAGAGTTATTGCCAAGGCAAAGTCAGAGCACATAGGCAGAATTGGCGAGAAACTAGTTCGCCTTCCTTCGGGAACCCGTGCATTCTGGTCTCTCGCCAAGGCTGTCCAAGGGAATTTCTGTAAGCCATCACTACCATCTCTGCACAGGGAGGACGACTCACTGGCCCAAGACGCAAAAGACAAAGCCGACCTTTTAGGCTCCCTTTTTGCGTCCAACTCGACTCTTGATGACGGGGGGAAAATACCGCCGACCATCCCGCGGTGTGAGTGCTCCATGCCGGATGTGCTATTCTCACAGCGCTCAGTTCGCAAAGCACTTCTTTCCCTGGACATCCAGAAGTCGAGTGGGCCTGACGGAATCCCCCCAATTGTGCTGAGGACGTGTGCTCCGGAGTTGGCACCGGTCCTAACGCGTCTTTTCCGGTACTCCTACTCCCAAGGCGTAGTCCCGAATTCATGGAAGACAGCTTTTGTCCACCCGATCCCTAAAAAAGGCGACCGCTCAGACCCGTCCAACTATAGGCCTATCGCGATCACCTCCTTGTTCTCCAAAATAATGGAATCCATTATTAACTGCCAGCTCATCCGGTACCTTGAGGATCACCAGCTGATTAGTGACCGCCAATACGGTTTTCGTCGGGGTCGATCAGCTGGTGATCTTCTGGTCTACCTGACCCATAGATGGGCGAAGGCAGTAGAGTCCAAGGGGGAGGCGTTGGCCGTTAGTCTGGACATTGCGAAGGCCTTTGATCGGGTTTGGCACAAAGCGCTTCTTTCGAAGCTGCCTTCCTATGGGCTTCCCGAGAAATTGTGCAATTGGATCACCAGCTTTCTTGCAGATCGGAGCATCAAGGTCGTTGTAGACGGTGCATGTTCTGACTACAAGCCTATTAACGCTGGTGTTCCACAAGGCTGTGTGCTATCACCAACGCTGTTTCTTCTGCATATCAATGATATGTTGCTAACTGGTAACATTCATTGCTATGCGGATGACAGCACTGGTGATGCTCTATACACCGGCCGGGCCAATATTTCTCGGGAAAACGTCGCCGAGTACCGGAACAAACTTGTGTCTGAAGTCGAGTCTTTGCTGGACAAAGTCTCGGATTGGGGGCGACTAAATCTAGTCCAGTTTAATCCTCAGAAGACACAAGTTTGCGCGTTTACCGCTAAAAAGAACCCCTTTGTCGTATCTCCTCAGTTTCAAGGCACTCCCCTTCTTGCCTCAGCCAGTATCGGTATCCTCGGAGTCGACATATCGAGTGACGTGCAGTTTCGTGGTCACTTGGAAGAGAAGGCCAAATTGGCCTCTAAAAAGCTTGGCGTGCTCAGCAGAGCGGGACAGTATTTCATGCCGGCACACCGCCTGCAACTTTACAAGGCGCAGGTTCGGCCTCACATGGAATACTGTTCCCATCTCTGGGCAGGGGCTCCCCAGTGCCAGCTCCTTCCACTTGACCGCATCCAGCGCAGAGCGGCTCGAATCGTCGACGACCGAGCCCTTTCCGATCGGCTCGATTCATTGGCACTGCGAAGAGATGTTGCATCTCTTTGCATTTTCTTTTGCATCTACCATGGGGAGTGCTCTGAGGAATTGTTCGGATTAATCCCAGCCGCCAAATTTCACGAACGCACATCGCGGCAGAACTCCCGATACCATCCACACCATCTGGATGATTGGCGGTCCACCACTGTGCGATTTAGAAGATGTTTTCTTCCTCGCACAACTTTCTTGTGGAATAGTTTACCACCAGGGATTTTTCCGGACCGATACGACTTAGGGACCTTCAAGAAAAGAGCCTACTCCTTTTTAAAAGGCCGGCAACGCATCTGCAATTCCCCTGGTGTTGCGGTTGTTCATGGGCGGCGGTAGTCACTTACCATCAGGTGAGCCGCATGCTCGTTTGCCCCCTCTCCTATAAAAAAAAAAAAAAAAAAAAAATAATAAGATCATTTTAAAATTAATAAATAAGCGTTTGGTAGACACTATATTAAACGGGATTTTTAGGATTTTTGATTAATATTCAGTCTGAAAAGACTACTACTGTCGCTACTTCTGCTATAAAAACTGTTAATAGCACATGCTTGTCAAGGTATGTGGATAATGAAGACTTTCAGTTACATGAGGATCTAGAGCAGTAATTTGAAACTGATTTTTAGCCCAAGAATATTTCGAGTTGTTAATTGAAAAATTATTTTCAAAATTATTTAAATAAAAGAACACTCCTCGGTAAGGAACGCTGCTTACTATCAGAACCCAATTACATCATAACACTAAAGTATGCAAACCAACAGCATCACTAACAATCTCAATGTAACACAGGGCAGCCTCTCGGCAACTAGGGATGCAAACGATACATCAAGGTTTGTAAAACATCGAGGTATCGGTCATAAACACCGATGTTATCATCGTTGTTTTGAAGAGCGATATATCGTCGATACATCGTTTGCTACATTCACAAATATCGACATCGTTCTTCAGTCTGTTCGGGTTCTCGGAATCACTGTGACGTTCGCTCGCATCGCATTGCTTTGTGTTGACACGTTAATTGTATGGTTGGTTTGGATTAATTTGATTCAATATAATATGATTCGATTATTTGACTACCCATCGACACCTATACACATTTTAGATTTTATGATTGGGGGAGTAATGTACTCGTTATATTAATTTATAATTTAGTTAGGTTATGTTAGTTTGTTTTTTTCATTGGGTTTGTGTAGGCACGTGCAAAGTGAGCGTGTCATTTCAGGTTAAAAGAAATTAACAAAAACGTATAGCTTGATATGTAAAGCAGCTTGTGAAATTACAGTTGATATTTTTTTTATTTGCCTAATTTAACACTCACTGCCATGCGGTCCGCCGATGAGTCGTAACTTTTCGACTAAGGCACGCCAGTATATGCGAAGCTGCCGAGTGCGGCAGGCCATGCGCCCCTCGCGCGACCCGTAGCTTTCCTGCTAAAATATGTCAAAACTTGTCGTTACATTTAAATTAATTACCCAGTTCGTCACGCCACACTTACTAATTAATCATTCGCCCGCTGGCCGCTCGCGTGGCGTGCAACAGTTCTTGCATAATTTTCGCGCGCTTTTTGAAAATCCTTTTCCGATCAATTTTTGATAGTTCCGTAAAATTTTTTTTCATCATGTCGGATTCCGAGTATGATCCCGACTACCAGCCGTCTTCACACGAACCATCAGACAGCCTGAGCAGTGATTCTGGCGAAAATTCCGAAGAATCTTTGTCAAACCAACGTCAGTTTCAACGTTCAACGAAACCATCAGGCTCACATACCTTATCGGAATCCAGTTGGAGTATACCAACAGATGGTCCAAGAAAGAAGCAGTTCTCATTTACGGCTATTCCAGGTATAAAAAATATAAGTCCTAACTGTCAAAATGAGTTTGACTTTTGGTCATTGCTTGTAGATGAAGAAATCATTCATATGATGGTGACAATGACTAATTCATATGCAAATAAAAAAAATATTATTCATCATGTAACGAGAAATAGTCGGTTGGCTAAGTGGAAAAACTGTGATCCTGCTGAAATAAAAAAAATTCTCGGTTTACTTCTTTGGATGGGTCTCAAAAAGTTACCAAAAATAAGTGATTATTGGAGCAAAGACATACCTATTATATGAAAATAAAGTGGCAAAAACGGTGAAGAGTAGAAACCGTTTCGAAATACTACTTCGATGTTGGCATTTCGAAGATACATTTTATATGGGCTTATCAACAACAGACCGTTTAGTAAAAATAAGACGTTTTCTAGAAACCATTTCTAAAAAGTTTAACATGTTCAAAATACCTGTAGAGTTTCTCACTGTTGATGAAACAATGGTAGCTTTTCATGGCCGGATTGCTTTTATGCAGTACATACTCGTACCTGGAAAACGAAATAAGTATGGAATAAAATTATTTAAAATTTGCGATGACGATGGATATACATATGACTTGATTGTTTATGAAGGGAAGAAGACTACGTCTACATCAACTCAGTCTACATCAACTCAAAATGTATTATCTAAAATTGTCATGAAACTCACAGAAAAGTATTTAAACGCTGGAAGAAGTATTGTTACTGACAATTATTATACAAGTATTGATTTTGCTCAAAATCTACTGTAAAATAACACCCATCTAATAGGGACGCTTAGAAAAAACCGAAAAGGATTACCTAACAAAATTGTTAATGAGAAATTAAAGAAGAGCGATATCTGTCTATGGAAAACAAAGATGGGATATTAGTCGTCAGATGGAAAGATAAGTGAGAAGTATTAGCTTTGTCAACTTGGCATACACCTAGTTTTGTAACTGTCAGAAGCAAAAGAAACCGTAATAAAGTAAGTTTGAAACCAACACTAATAGCTGACTATAACCTTCATAAATGTTCCATTGCTTATTCAGACCAGATGGGAAGTTATTGCAATCCAGGAAGGAGAAGTTTGCGATGGTTTCAGAAATTAGCTATAGAACTTTTGTTCAGCACGTCTATGATCAATGCCTTTATCTTGTATAAATAGGCTAACAACCTAACATCTAAAAAATATACTATAACTACATTCAAAGAAAATTTATGCCGCCAATTGATTGGCCTTACTAAGAATAGCAGGCAAAATTATCAACGTTGTCCCACTGACCATGAATTTGGAAAATCTCCATTAGTCGACCATCGAAACATAACAGTGAGAAGAAGATGCATCCACTGTTATGAAAATAAAAGAAGTGAAGGACTGACAAGTGTGGAGGCATGTAAGGTGACTAAGAAAGTCAATACAGTGTGTTTAATTTGTCCCTCTTTTCCTAGTGTTTGTACCGAATGTTTTGTTAATGTTCATAAAGACTTAGTTAGTCATTAATTTCGTTATGTCTTTTTTAATATAAATTAATGTTTCTTTAATTAAAAAAGTGCATTTTTATTGCTTATAGTAATCCCTCACAAAACAGTCAATTTTAATGGTAGGACTATGAACTTTTTTTTGAATTGTAGAAATTTTCTCGGACTGCGGAAGTAGGAATGTTATGTTTTTCGAGCGCATGTATGTATGTATGTATGACATAAAAATAAAATCTATTTTTTAATTACTTGTAAAAATAAACAATGTTTTTGTTTCTTTACAGATAACCAATTAACTATGCCTTCCAATAAAATAAAAAGTAAAATTTGGAACTACTTTAAGAAAATTGGTGACAAGGAGGCTATTTGCAATATTTATTTTCTTTTTTTTTTAAATATAGCATATATTATATGCAACAAGAGTCTTAAAACTTCTGGGAATACGACAAATCTTCGAGGTCATTTAGAAAATGTACATTCCCAGCAATTGGAAGATATTGATGTACCCAGCAAGAAAAAAAAGGTCGGTAACATTACTACTTACACGTGCATAGATGAAGCAACTGCAAGTACCAGTAGTCATAATGTTGACCTTTCATTACAATCAAACATCGATGTCGACGTTAACCAACTATCGACCAATTCAAGCAGTGTTAAAGATTTAGTATTACCTTCATCTCATAAGTCAGTTGCTACTGTTGCTAGTACATCGTCAGACATTGTTATTGATTCTAAAAAAACTGCTCAGCCAAACGTAGATGATTTTATAAACATCATTAAGAGTATAACTACAAAAGATGGTGCAAAATCAAAGAAAATAACTGAGGCCATTACGAATTTCATAATCATGGATAATAAACCATTTTCGACTGTTGAAGGTAAAGGTTTTCGACAACTGATGAAAGAAGTGTGTCCACTGTACAACGTGCCGAGTCGAGAGATAATTAAAACGAGAATAGATGAAAAATATGAGGCATTGAGTCATCTTTTTAAGATGTACATAAAAATGCTGAAAGCTATTGCATCACATACGACATTTGGACCGAAACCATGCAAAATAAATAATTTATAGGTGTCACTATTCACTTTTTGGATAAGTGTAAGTCTCGACTTCTCAGTGGAACTTTAAGCGTTTTTGAGTTGACCTAAAGCCATACGTCGCTTTACATTATTCAGAAACTTACCGTTTTTTCACCGAGTGGAATGTTTCCATTGAAAAAGTTTCAGCTGTTATTACAGACAATGATAGCACTGTTATGAAGGCCAATGGGAAATGTTTGGAGAAAAAAAAATCATTCCCTGTTTTGCCTCATACAATTAATTTAGTCGTAACAAAATCCATTGATGATTCAAACAATTGTACTGAGTTAATAACCAAAGTTAAGGATATAGTTAAATTTATAAAAAGGAGCGTCAATGCAAGTGACGAATTACGGAAGAGACAGTTAGAGATGGGACTAAAAGAAGGTCAATTAAAAAAAAAGATACTCGATGTTCGCACAAGATGGAACTCTTGTTTTTATATGCTTCAACGGTTCATGGAATTGGTGTCCATTGTAGGATCAATACTTTTGACTCGACCTGAAGCTCCACCAATTGTCTCAAGCAGTGAACTGGATTGCATTAAAGAAATGATAGAATTACTATGCCCATTTGAGAAATTGACAAAAGGGTTTCTGGAGATAGTTACGTAACGGTAAGCAAAGTGATTCCGCTAGTTAGTTGTATCCGTGAAGTACTAGAGAACATAAAACCAGCGCGACACTTTTTACTGCTAGAACGGGCGGGAGATTACGCTTCCAACTTATTTGTTCGTATTTCCTTTAAATTGTTTACCCTCATTCAAAACACGGCCTCTTCTGACAGGAGACCGTCCTCGGGCTACCTTTAGTTTTGAATATCCTTCTCCATTAGTTATGGGGTTGCACGCATCGAGTAGGTAACAGGCGACGCGCTTGGCAATGACTACATTAACACGGGTCGTCTGAGTAGGTACTATAGGCACTAGGTTCACGTAACTCAAAACAAGTGGAAAAATTAAAAATGTTGTACAACCGACTTCAATATAAATAAAATTAAAATTAAAAGTCAATTATTAATAAATACGCATGGTTAAGAATTACTCAAAAACTACTGGTCAGATCTTGATCAAATTTATATGATACCACATAATAAGGTCCAGCTTTTAAACAAAAAAAGAATCTTAAAAATCGGCTCACCTAGAAAATTGTTCTGAAGTAACACACATAAAAACACAGTCGAATTGAGAACCTCCTTCTTTTTATTGAAGTCGATTAATTAAGTCATAGGCACTACGATAACATAACTTAACATATACTTAAGCCACAGGTAGCATAACTAAAACTAGACGCGAAAGAGGCACGACGTTAGCTTGTCCACCTTCAACTTTTGAGAAAGAGGCACAACGTTAGCGTATCTCAATATTACTCTCTCAGAAAGGAAGCACTACATTAGCTATTTCTGAGAAACATGTAACTACTCACCCTTAAAGTAAGCATGGGGCAAGCACTCACCTCGTGTAGAGGCTAATGTAACGTTACTGGTTTAATGTAACTTTCCCGTCTCGGCCCTTTCTGACCATGAAACGATAAACTCTTGTTTTCAAATCTTTACCAATTTTTATTTTACAGCACACAATGAGTGAGCTCGTGAATACATTTCATACAGACTAAATTTTTACAGAATTGAAAACATCGTACAAATCAAATTTTAGTACCCAATGCTTCCTACTAGTGTTTAACGCACGTCACAGATAACACAAACTTCTCTGAAGAACACTGCGCATACGGCACAGATGAAAATACAGGCATCACCGCTAGCGAGCCGCTGCACCGCACCAGCGCCAGCGAACCGCCATTCTTACTGATAAGTCTGAGATAAAAAACCAGATTAATGATATTAAAAAAAGCCAACGCGGAGATTGAAAAATTTGTTGATTATCTTGGAGAAAAGTACGTGCAACTGGAGAAATTTAAGAAAGAAATGATAGAGGATTCTAAAACACAAGAAAACAGAGTGAAAGATATCCTACAAAAAAATATCTATCTTGAAAAGTGCAACAAGGCTTTGGAAAAGCGTATAGTGAGACTTGAGCAGAAGGATTAGGAGATGCAAACTGTGCTTACAAATGTGCAAAAGTACGAAGGTGAAAACTTAGTGGCAACTGTAATCAAAATTTGCCAACACTTTCAATTAAAAGTGGAGGACATTGAAAAAGTCTAGAGAATGCTAGGGTGATAATAACAGAACAGTAAGACCCATGGTAGTGGCATTGCGCTCACGAGAGGCTCGCTTACCATGATTGAAATGCAGAAGAACGGTAATTACAAATGATACTATTATTAAAATCGATAACAACTCTCGAATTTATATAAACGAGTATTTAACCCGTAAAATACGTGACCAGTTCTGGAGAGCGAAAATTAAGTTAAAGGAAACATAGAAATACGTATGGGTACAGAACGGCAAAATACTTATTAAGAAGAATGAAAGTGAAAAAAAATAATTTTCAAAGTGATATCGTTACCCTCATTCAAAACAAAGAAGAGTAATAAATTCCGTATTACATACGAGAGTAATAATAAATAATATGTCTCTTAATTTTATTCCACAACAAGATGTGCAAGATATTAAATACTTTAGATTTACAGATGTACAAACGTGGCATGATTCGGTATATGCAAACATAACACAACCTGAAATAATACATATACACCAAAGATGTTTTATAGGTCCAGATACCGTGTTGCTAACACACCGCAACGTTCATAGTGAAGACAGTCT